TCTCTCTCTCTCTCTCTCTCTCTCTCTCTGAGGAATTGGTAAATCTCGAGTGCAACTCGGAAAAAAAAAAACTCGCTGCACTGCCTGAGGTCTGTGTGAGGAAGTGGTCTGCGTTGAGTGTGGACACTACGGCCTTGCAGGGGTGTGGCGGATATCACGGCGGCCGGTATGGTTCCACCTTTGAACAACACGGTGTCCTGGCTGTAGTGGTTATGATAGTTGGCTGTTCTTGAAGCCGAGGTCGCCGGTTCGAGTCCGTGCTTGCATGGAGGAGTGCTGAGGCCCAGAGGTACTCTGATCCAATGACACGTGTGTGAGGAAGAATGGGATTTAGTGACTTTAGTCCAAAAAAATGGCAAAAATGGAAATCGGCAGTTGAATGGTTAAATCCGCCAACCCCATCGTGACGCAGTGTTTGTATGGTTAAATCCGCCGACCGAACAGACTTGCACATTTTGATGTGTGATGTTCAGCAGGAGAGGGGGAACACAACAAGTTCGGTCATGGAATTTGTGTGGATCTCCACAGGAGGGCAGATACTCTCTGCATGGAGCTGAGGCTGGCACCAAAAAAAAAAAAACAAAAAAAAAACTATCATTTGATTCATTTTAGTGTTTTGGTAATTTTACGGGAAAAGGAGGGGGAGATTCTGTGAATGGAGATGGAGGTTGAGGTGGAGATGGACCTGGAAGAGGTTGCTTTTTTGCAAAGGAATTGTCCAGATGCATCCTAGAGGTTACTTGAGACTGTCCAGATGCGGCGAATGCAACTGCACATCGAAGATCCGGCAAGAGTTTACGAGAAATGGGGAGAGAACTGGAAGAGGCGCTACTCAGAGGAGTAGGAGAGCGTAAAATTTGCACTCGTGCTGCATGCAAGTGGACATCCAAGATGCTGCTGCCACAGTTTCACTGTACTTTCACGGTACTTTCACGGTACTTTCACCTCGGCTCATCAGATAGAGAGCATAGTTCGAAGTCAGGTCAGATGTCAGACTCTTTGTCTGTCATGCACGTGCAGTCTGACGTGTTTATCGAACTTTATCCATTGGATGGAGCCGTGCAATTGCGGCTCATTCTGCAGAACCTGAGCCTTTATATAACGGTGGGCTGGATATTGGAACTGGACATGGAACTGACCTGGAATTGGACCCAGAAGTGGAGCTGGAACTGGACCTGGAATGGACCTCGACTGAACCTGGAATGGGTGAGGAACGGGATCTGGAGTGAACTTGGGATGGGCATGGAAGTAGACCTGGAAGTGGACCTGGAAGTACACCTGGAGCTGGAATGGGACCTAGAGTGGACCTGTAAATAGACCTGGAGCCAGATTTGGACCTGGAATGGACCTCGACTGAACCTGGAATGGGTGAGGAACGGGACCTGGAGTGAACTTGGGATGGGCATGGAAGTAGACCTGGAAGTGGACCTGGAAGTGGACCCGGAAGTGGAATGGGACCTAGAGTGGACCTGGAATGGACCCGGAATTGGACCTGGAACGGGCCTGGAACCGGACCTGGAATGAACCTGGAGTGAACTTGGGATGGGCATGGACGTGGACCTGAAACTGAGCCTGGAAAGTGACGACGGGACTGGAACTGGGCTCTCGACGAGTACTCAAGTGCAGCGGAACAGCACCCATGGAGCTCAGTCTCTCCTCCTCCTCTTCTTTTTTTAAAGTGTGACAGCCTCTAGATGTCATCTTTCAAGGTTCAACTGACCGGCCTCGGCCTAATTCACCTCCTCTAGAGTAATAATCACTTCCGATTCCGTTGGGATTCAAACTCAGGTCTGTGTTTCAACAGTTGATGGCTGCGTGTACCTGGAACTGGACCTGGAACTGTTCCTGGAACTACACCTGGAACTGATGCACCTGGAACTGATGCACCTGGAACTGCTGCACCTGGAACTGCTGTGCCTGGAACTGATGCACATGGAACTGCACTTGGAACTGATGCACCTGGAACTGATGCACCTGGTACTGCGCATCACATTGTCTGCAACCAACACGGTCACCCCCCCCCTGGGCAGGTTCTTGCTTAGTAATATGGGACCTGGAAGTCCCAGCGGGACTTGGAACTATCACTACAATGGAACTGGGTTTGAACTGTGAAGTTGGAACTGAGGACTCGAACTGAGTTTTCGCACTCACTTCTCTGCGCTCAAGCCTCAAGCTTGTTATTGGAAACCAGATTCTGCTTATCATAGGAGATTTTACTTATTTCTCCAACTGGTACAGGACCTGCACTTGGAACTGGAACTGGAACTGGAACTGGAACATGGATGAGATGAGTTACTGCATTCAGATTGCAATTCCACTGTGTCTGGCGAACAACAAGAAAGTGGATATGTCTTTCAAGTTTCAAGCCCCACTGTCTGAATGCGCTGCGATTGCAGGTCAGATGCATCTGAACGCGCTGCGATTGCAGGTCAGATTCAATGCTTCTGTATCAGGGTAAGGTGAAGTTTGGTTCACTTGCATCGATGACGTGAGATGCATGTGGAAGGTTGAAAACCCCATCCCGGATTGTTTCCAGAATAGGAAAAAGCTCGTACCATTTGCGAACGGAATTGGAACCTCGGACGGTTTATGGACAGAATAGGAAACTCCTACGACTCACGAACAGCAGCAGCAGAAGCATGGCGGCGGCGGGGGGGGACCTATGGTCGTCCTGCGGACACAATTCACCACCTTGAGCATGAATGTATACAAGCTAGTTTCCTGGTCCGGTACAGTCATGACGAGGTTGCAATTGTAGTCAGAGGGAGACTGCCGTCCGCCATTCCAACTGTCTACTGACTGGTTGATGACTCAGTTGACGATATCTTTTTTTTTTTTTTTTCTCTTCTCAGACAAATTTCGAGCAGGATTTCTTTTCTTTTTCATATTGATGATGATGTCCAAGCGTTTGCTGGCTCCTGCCTTCTTCCCCCGAATACAGCGTATGTCCATACGGTCTTTATAACTGTATTTAGAGCCTTTTTAGACTGAAAGATGCCCCAAATACAGCAATAAATACCGTATGTTGTCTTCGGGGGAAGAAGGTAGGAAAGAAGGGATTGTCTGACGGGAATGCATGTTGCAGAGAGTCTTTTTTTGTACTTGGACATCTCATCATGAGCGGCATTGCGGAAACCAGAGGGGTTGTTTTCCATCTCAGCAGAGCTTTCCAGTCGTTCAGCCCACCTGACTGCTTAATAATGCGCAGGGCAAAAGACATACATAGGTGGATAGGATAATGATGATGCCTGGCACTTGTTAACTCTTACGGACCCATACATACTTCTCCCCTTCACAATCACCACTGTCTGTCTGCACCGGTGCTTTGTCTGTGAAATTTACAGCAGTTTGCTGGTTCTGTTTTGCTCACTCCCGTGCCTTAGCTCTCTTTCTCTCTCTCTCTCTCTCTCTCTCTCTCTCTCTCTCTCTCTCTCTCTCTCTCTCTCTCTCTCTCTCTCTCTCTCTCTCTCTCTCTC